ACATTGAACTGCTTCATGATGCTACACGGAGAGAAGCTAGAGGCGGATAAATTCTGGAAAGGATTAATTAGCTGTGACAAAACACCTCCCATGGCTCCCAATTTCATGTATCTTGCGTATTTTAGCTCTCTTTTCTCTGGATTAGTTGTTGATATCTCCCAAAGATATTCAAACATGTAGCTGCATTTTGATACGCATCGCTGACCATTACACACTGAAATCTGAAATTCTGAATGAATGCCTTGGATTGAAAAGGAGAGTGTAAACCATTCCCTTTGGATAATGACATGTGTTGCGAAAGATATTGCTAGCAAAATTTACTGCATCAAGGCTTCCTCTTTTTTTTATATTTATTTATTAACTGTATAAATTTTGTATCTCGTCTTGCATATATGTCCTGGGCTCTTTATCTCATGGTTGAACTTTTTGGCGATTTTTTTCCATCCTTGCCATATTCTGGGATCCAATCGTCCAACCATAACATTTGAGACTACATAATGCTATATAGGCTGAAGCTCTAAACATTTGATAATCGATTATCGAACGTTAAAAAACCACCCGGATTCCCCCAACTTTCCATGAACTTAGATTTAAAGCGTTTCTGAGACGAGTTATGAGTATAAACTTATCTCATCCTTACTTCACGGACTTTCTTTTTCCTTGATGGAAAAATGATTAGAGAAAATTGCTATACATAGGATCAAATCATACCGTTTTTACAAACATAAGACCTCGAATTGTTTCTCTCATTCGTAAGACTTATTTAATTCTATTTTTGAAAACTCTATTAGATAACTAACATCTCCCAACATCTATTACATCGTAATAGATGGATAAGTTGTCTGCTATTGAGCTATTATTAGAACTTATTGTTTGTTTACCTACATTGAGTAACAAACATCCCCAAGCTACATCGTAACAAACATAACTACATTCTCCAAGCTATCGTAAAATTAATTAGGATAGCTTCCCCAACTTCTCCATCTTTGCAGATTCATCGACAACATGCCCGGCCACATTCACCGATACTAACACATCGTTCAATGAACCTGACAACTTGAAATTGACATGGTCTCACCGAGCATCGGCGGCATGCGGCTGCAACAGGGTGTTGATCTCTCTCACACACTAACATCTTGATCTTCAGAAACCAAATAGAAGAAGCCTTCCAGCTTTGTGGCACCATAAATGATGCTAGATTGCCTGTGTTGCTTATTGCGGAGTTTTTGACAACCTTCCGATGTAATTTCATCATTAGATACAATGAATTGTATATATATATACTCTGTATTGTTTTACGTTACTTGCTCTGCCATTGAGCTATTATCAGAACTTATTGTCTGCTTAATGACTACTTACTGTCTATTTATTGTCTGCTATTGAGCTATTATTAGAACTTATTGTTTGTTTACTGACTACTTTCTGTCTATGTATTGTCTAGTGTTTGCACTTTGATTTTGGATCTGTTTTCTTCAGAAATTTTGCAGAGTACCTGGTGGCTTTGTGAAAATATGAAATAGAAGTTTGAAATTGGCAAAATCAATGTCCAAAATCATAGAAGAAGAAGAAGAAGAAAAAGAAACCTCGGGCGGCAGCGGCGGCCGATGCAGCTGGTGCGGCGGCGGCGGCCGATGCAGCTGGTGCGTTGGCAATCGATGGAGCTACATCCCAATCGGGTTTTCCGGTTGCGTTTTCTGCAATTTATTTCATAGAGTCTGCGATTTTGGAAGCTCCGAGCAGCCAGTTTCGTCGTTCGCAAATTTCTAATGTTTGTAGCAAAGGACTTTTTAATCTACTGGAGCTATGTGATACTCCGTATTAATTTAAGGGTATATAAGTCTAAACACATCCACTTATGTCCTACGCATATTTGGAGTCCTAGTTTTAGAAACTTTATATGATTAAGTCTTATTTGTAAAATTTCCCCAAATGATTATGGGATTGATATTGTACTCCGTATATCATCTCTTACAGGGACGGAGCCAGAACTCAGTCATAAGGGGGGCCAAGAACAAACACAAACACTAAAGAAAAAAATCTCTAAATAGGACAAAAAAGTTTATAAACAGGATTATCATTATTTTAATCTCGAAATAGGACTTTTTGACTCCTATTTTGGCAAACTTTAATCAAATAATTTTTAATAGAACTAAATAAGATCTATTCAAGGAGTAAAACATATTTTTTCATATTTTTAATGAGGAATGATCCTTTCTGAATTACATGACGGGATCCACCATCTGGATGTCCGTGTTTGATGTGCTTCCGGATGGATTTTTTGGGTGAAATTTTATGACAATATTCTTCATGATGTGTAGATTATTTACACCTAATTTCAGTTTAAAATTCAATCGACAAATCAGTTAAATAAATTATTGAAAAACACTGTACCAAAAAATATATAAAAAAACTCAGTGTTTTTCCATAATTTATTTAATTGACTCTCCAATTGCATGTAAGCTGAAATACGATGGATATAATATACACTTTATGAAATACATGTTCACAAAAATTCATCAAAAAATTCTACCCGAAAGCATCTCACATAAAAGCTTCTATCGAGTAGTTTTGACCCAATCTTTACTGATTATTTCATTTATAATAGTAGTATTACTAAAAAATAAAAAAGTTGGGAGGGGCCATGGCCCCCCTACCCATACACATACATCCGTCCCTGATCTCTTATAAACAAATCTGAATTCGTAATTTTCACTTTTAAGAGCATCCACATTCATGATTATATTCTAATATGATATGATTATTTGTGATTCTTACCATTTAAAACTTGCCACATATATGTTTAGGAATAATTTCATCCCATCGGAATTATCCTCCAACCATCATCCCAAAATAATTTGATCTTTTGTGTATCATGTGGTAACTAATTAACTCTAATTTTATAAATAATCTCAAAATAATTCGGTTTCATAAATTGATCTCGGATTATTCTATCAATTAGTTCTGTCCAATAATCTATCTCACTCAACCATACTTTCCGAAATAATCTGCCATGTCACTAGAATGAATACCTAATAATCTCTTGGATGGTGACGCCCTATAAACATATTAATATGATTTAACATGTTGACACAATGTAAGAGTTTTTAGTGCGAAGAATATATTATATGAGTATATGAGTGATGACAATAGTATAAGGTGCATCTACCTTGTCAATGTACTGATTATTACGGAGTACGGAGTAACATTTAACATCCACCGTATATTTACTCCTTTTCTAGCGAGACATAGGCGAGATGATGTGCACTAAAATTAATGTATACACTAGCAAAATTTCTAGTTTAACAAAATCGATGCCATCTTTGATTAAAAAAGACATGCAATTCTACTTTTATTGATCAACATAATTCTTTTTTATTCTCTCTTTTTAGTACAGTATCACTTTTTTTCATATTCATATTTTGTTTCAATGGAACGTAGTTTCTACGCATGTAAATCTTAAATATATACTGACAAATATTACGTGGTACTCCGTAGTATTTAACAATTTATAAGTCAATCTTAAAGTATGCATAAATTTAAATCAACTTGGATGTAATAATAATTATCTAATGCGAGCACAGATGATCCACTTCACATATTAAGGGACAACTTGAAGTAGGTTTATCAAAGCAATGCATTTTTCTCGGAGTTTAATATATCAAGAACTCAATCGCACCCCCCAAACCGCAGATGTATTGTCTTGAATGAGGTTATATTTTATTCATTAGATTCAATTTTCCTCTCACAACTTTTTTGTATATCACACGTTTTAAGTTCATTAAATGAGGACCCAAAACTTCGAGCACAATTTCTCCCACACAATTTCTTATTTTTGAGTTCCATACAACTTACCATATGCTTCATTCATATTTTTCATTTGCAAATATACTTTTTTGCTTGAAGTGCCTTGTTATTTCTAACATTCCCATTTTTGATAAATTTTAACGTAATCATTTATTTTCATTTTCCTATTTTTATAATCTTTTATCTTCTGTTTGTAGTCTTTTCTAACATTTTTATTTTCTCTTTCATAATTTTTCATTTAACTTGTTGAACTTTTTCTACCTTCTTCATCACTTTTACTTTTTCTTCATCTCCATAAAAATATATAGTTGTAAGTAACAAATAATGAGGGAATAAGGAGTAATTTTATGGAATCATATGTGACTCCTTAAAAAAGTAAATGATAGGTATTATGTCATAACTCATAAGTCTCATAGCACCTCATTTGATTCCGTAAGGGAGTCACGTATGATTCTTTACCATTTTTGGAAAATATAAGGATGTTAACGAACAACGCTTTCATTGAATTATTCAAGTCGAACTCGGTTTCAAACCTAATAAGACGGGCTTAACGAGTTTTCGAACTTGAACCAAGCTCGAATATAGTAGTATAAGGCTCGGTTCGGGCTCAACCCTATCAAACACCTGCAATTACAAATACTCCCTCCGTAACTTTAGAATCTTCCCATTTCAAAAGTAGGTAGATTAAGAATAGTGAAAGATGATATGAATTATTGAGGGTATAATGGGAAAATAGTGGAATAATGTGGTGGAATGTAGGATAAATCCAAAAAAAGTAGTTGTAATAGTGTATTATTTTAAGAATTATTGAGGGTATGATGGGAAGATTTAGAAATGGGAAGATTTTTGTGTTACGGACGAAAAAGGAAAGTGAGAAGATTTTTAAGTTACGGAGGGAGTAATATATACTCCCTCCGTCCCCTTTTAAATGGGACGGGAGATGGTAGCACGAGTTTTAAGAAAAGTGAGTTTGTGTGGTTGATATTAATTGATAAAGTAAGAATAAAGTAAGAATGATTTTGAGCCACACAAAGTTTACCAAATAAGGTATGAGGCAATTAAATAGGGACATCCCAATATGGTAAAACGGGACATTTAAAAGGAGACGGAGGGAGTGTATGTTTATGAATTAAACATGATTGTTGACGAATATCGAGCAACACTTACAATTTAAATTCGAGCAAGTTTATCCGGCCTTCTATTGGAATATCTAGCCTTATTTGTAAAGAAGCTCAAGCTAGCTCTGCTTCTGACTCGGCTCGCTTGGCTTGTTAACATCCTACGCTGGAGTTTTAGAACGTCTTACCTCAAAAATGGAGACAAAGCTCGTCCAGATAACATGCTTTCCAATTCTTCCCACTCCCAACTACTATGCTTCACTGTTTTGGAAAGTTCCACAGACGATTACAAATCCAACTATTCTCAGAATCAAGCCTATTATCGTCCCAGGTAAGCCTAACTCCCATGTTCATTTTAATGCTGCGTTTGCTGTTTACTGACCTTCCAAAGCTACCTATCTTCCTTTTTATAACCGTTTTTTTTTTCCATTAATTTGGTGCTTTTAAGTTGTAGTTCCACACAGATGCAAGCCAGTCCAAGAACAGGACTTTGAAGGGCTTCCCAAAGAGTTCTATGATGATGTATGCATTTTTTTTCTCCTTCAGATCCTGCTTCTCCTTTTTCCTTACCAATTTTGAAATTTTAAAATTGGCTGTGAATGCCAATGGTTGAACCTAGCAACCTTAATTAGGCGTTTAGGCAGTTAAACTTGTGGTTTGGTTTTACTGCTTTTAGTGGCAAGGCGATTAAATAATTAGGCATTTCTTTGTGGCGAGGGATTTAGATAAGGATAGTCTTTCTGTCTCGTCATGTATATGTTGAAGATGGGACTAACCTCCTCCCGGTTAGGAATGGCAAGCCAGGCAAAGGGAGAAGAACAAAGAATTGCAGAGGTTGCGAGTTGAGGAAGAAAAAGAGGAGGAAGACAAGGTTGAAGAATACAGGGAAATTGCTTTGCTCTTGAAAGATTGTCCTGCAGAAGACCTCTGCAATGCCAAGAAATTGGTAGCCTCATTTATTAGATCAGCTGAAGAAGTTGAAGAGGTTGCTTTTTATCTTCTTGTTTATGAAGATAAGTTGTTGGTGATACTTTTCAATAGCTTATATGTTTTCTATTTTAATTTGTGCAGAAAATTGAGGAGGCCGCAGTAAAAGGTGAACTAAATGAACTTGTTCTGATGGTAATATGGAGTCGTCTCGATATCGCCAAGCGTGATGTTAGTCTTTCCTACTGCCAAAGTGCTAATTTCATTATTAATATGCATTTGGACTTCTTCTTTTGTTTCTCTTATCTTTGAGGACTGTTGATTTTCCATTCATTTTAGCAGTAGTTTAGCCATCATATTGTTGCCTTCATATCTTATATCTGTCAGTCTTGCTCTCGCACAATGTCTAGGAGAAGAAAGATTGGAGAATGTTCAATTTCATAATTGAACATGGTACGACTTAAATCTAGTTCACGTTTCTGGCTGCTCTTGAGTCTTTTCTATGAACTTAAGTGCATCTGACATCATGACATCATGTGCCTGTTAGTTAATACTAAATTTTGCCGAATTTGTCAAATCCTCTGAATGTTCTGCAGTCATGGTTAAATCTAGTAAATTATGAGATGTTAATTTTAAATTATATTTTAATAATAACTGAAAAAGTTACATCAGAAAAGCTAAACATGTTTCTTTGCAGCCAAGAAACCATCTCCAATCTTTTTTCATTATTAACGATTAGCACCTGAAATTAAAAAATTGGTGTGTTAAAAATATGTCTGATGGGGTTGTTAATCCAAAAAATATGTTTACAAAACGGGCACTGTGTATATACTAATCGATATTCTAATGAACTGAACTAACTGGGCTGCTGAAGATATTAAAATTTTTCCTGGTATTGATCTGTTGACAAGTTCTACACTTTATTTGCTAATATAGTTAATTGTTATTCTAATTGTAACTGAAAGATATATCCTTGGAGATTCTTATGAAATATGAATCCATTCCCGGCCTGTGTTTTTTGTCATCTCACATCTCTGCATGGGAGTACAACCATTCTCTAAATAAGATGCTATTGGGCTGAGTTTTTATTGTTGTCAAATCTTCAGGATGAGAAGGATGCTATTCGAAGTCTTGATCTCTTATACAGGCGGGTCGAGGTTTGGTCCATAGTTGTTTTGTAATTACTGTTGTTGATGAGAATGTTCAGCCTGTTTCATGTAGTCAAATTTTCATCACCAGATATATCCTTTCTTTCTCTTCCAGATGGAAATTCTGAAAAGCGAGGCAACTGCCGCCATGAGACTGCTCAATGATCTTCTGAATCTGCATGGTGGATATGACGATGAAGGGTGGCTGAAGGCATGTAGAAAAGTTATGGTCAATACATTCCCATGCGAGGAGGATCCATTCAGTATTCTTCTGCCTGCAGGATTCGACATGGAGAGTGTATGTAGCCATCTTAAAATATTTTTCCCTTTACATATGGTCCTGTATTGTTTGAAATAATATTGTAATGGCTGCAACGCATCATGAATGTGAATTCATTTTTAAGTATGGGTGCAAAGTAAGGGTTGACCCGGTTCAGGAACTGACCCAGACTAGCACAATAGGACTGACTGGTATTTTGCCCGTAGACGAATCGGTTTTCTGGATCTCAGCTGATCCAAACCAGTTCAGGTCCCTCCACAATACGTTTGGATCGGTTGTTATTTCACTTTTAATAGGCTAATAAACTGGTCTGAAACCGTCCTTAGAGCCAGACCGCAACCCAACTGAGAACTGGAATTGGTTATGAAAACCGGTCCAAACCGGTTCAGGTTCATCCAAAAAAGGACCCGAGTTGTTGTGCTTCCGTTTTTTGATTGGCCATGAAACTGGTTAGGAGCCGACCCAAAACCGGAGCCTTAACCGCAACCTGTCTGGGTAGACGCAGTTAGACTGTTACAGTTTTGCCAGATTGGAGTTGCACCGGGTCCACCCCTAAATTTTCAATAACTTTGCTGTTTTGTGCTGTGTCTCAGCTCCACGGTCCAGTCAGACCACCCGTAGATGCTGATGACGTACTTCTTAGAGTAGATTTTGTCAGAGAGGTTGATGCACTGCTACAAGAGGTTCGAGAAGAACAAAGGAAAGCAGTGAATACAAAAGATCTTGATCCCGAAACCGTCGCAATTCGGCTGAAGCAACAGGAGAAACAAAGAGCCATTCACCAAGTGGAAGCACTTTTAGATCTTGCCATTAATTTGAAGTGGTAGAAAATCAAGAACCACCACATGCTGCCTGTGAATCCTTACCACTTCTCTATGTTGAGTCTATGTAGTATATCAAAGTATGGGTGAAGGGGGACGTTCTATGCTCAACAGCATTACATGCTTAGGTCACACCTTGTCATTTTTATCATACCCCCTGAAGTCCATGTATCTCCTGAATAGTTGGAAAAAGTAGAGTAATGGTTCTCACGAGAGAACCAAAATCATCTTATTCTTTATAAATTATATCTGGTGCATTGTGTTGTGTCTGGCTGCTGAAGTGGATGAAGTAATGTAGAAGAACGCATTGTGCTGTCTTCTTCAGGTAAGGAGTTGCAGTATATCTTACAGCAGAACCCCTTTCTCGATACACTTTACCTACCTTAATATTTGCATAACTTTTCAGTTTTTACTGCTATTTTGACAATTTATTTTTAATTTTCCAATAGAAATTCAAAACAGAAACCATAGATAATTTGTAGTTTGCGTAAAATATAAAGGATAGATAAAATTTTGGATAAAGGATAAAAGATGGCCAGATTTTGTAATTTGGAAGTGACCAAATTTTAATTAAGGCTTGAGTTTTCATTGTATGAGGACTAACTCAAGATCTTATAGGTTCGTTTGTTGTTTTTTTATTTATTCAATGTGGAACCGTAGGTGGGAGCCTTTGCGGCACTGGGGTACCGTTGTTGTATTCGATGTGGGACAAACTCTTCATCATCTTCAAACTTGTTACGGAGGGGGAAAAATCTCTAAGTTTAAAGAGATTGACACTAAACTAGCAATCTCAATTCTTAATCTACTTCTCAATCTTATTTATTTTTGCTTAATTAGTGGTAAGTAGATTTTTATGAATTAACAGATCAAGTTGAATGAAAAGCATGATGTATCTGCCAAAAGTTAGCTTTATCACTTTCCCAGGCCTTACAGTACTCTATATCTCTCCCAGATGCTCTCTTGGTGGCTACTAGTGGATCATTCTCGTCGTCATCAATGGCTACCGGTCGCTCAAACTCAACACCCTTGAGAACAGGGTGCACATAAGCATTCCCAAGATAAACTTTCAGGCTCAGGTTGGGTTCTGTTGCCTTTTCCACTGTATCCTTCACCATTGCTTCCTGAGAATCACACAATCAACCATCAAAGAAATGTATTTTAGATGATGAGCAAGTGCTATATTTCTTCCGGAATTCAAGATAGATTTGCTAAACCTGCAATGGGAACTTTACAAACACAGATTCAAACCGCTCCTTGCAGAATTTATGAAACCAGATTGTTAGAACTAGGAGAACAAGGATGAGTGGGGTTGATTTGGCTGCATTTTTTGTGCTCATCAGTCCCATCAGTTGGACCTGGGAAATGACGAGACCAATGACTATACGACGATGAACATCTGGCCAGAGTGCAGCCCCACTCTCATACTTCTGGTTGTACACATTGATGATCTGGCAACAATAAAAGAAGAAACCATAGGCATAAATTTATAATAATAGTTTCTCGATATATCTGTCTTTTGAGAAGCATAGAATTTTGAGCGCACCTGATGGCGGAAAATCATGTATGCAAATGCAAAGAAGACAATTATGAAAGGGAGAAGTATAGGTGTGATAACAGCATATACTAATCCAAGTAAGAAATAAAGCTGTATACGAGGTTCTGATGTAGAAAACACTATAGAACCAGGATTCATAGCCTCCTTCCTCTCCCTTTCTGTCTTCACCAAGAATGCATCCTTAGTGTGAAACTTCACTAATGGAGATAGTCTAAGAACCTCTGCTGCAACGCCTGCCCAACCATCAACCATTATGTAGCTGATAAAGAATGTGGCTTTTATTGGAATTGCTACCCCTATAGTCTTCGGAATGCTGCAATAGAATTTTGTAGCCAAGGTAATTAAGATTTCATGGCTTCATGCTACATACTAAGTGCCCATATTGTAACCTTGTTTTTTGTCCTATCAGCCTTATTGTTTGCTTTTTTTACGAATCGAGTTTTTATTTTATTTTATGCCCTGACTTGGTTAATAATGAAAAGAGGTGGTACCTCCGTCCCAAAATAAAAGTTACAAAACTTTTGGCCACATAAATTAAGAAAGTGGGATAAAGAATCTAAACTACTTCCCCCTTTTACTGTCGCATCAAAATGTTCAGTAAGTTTGTAATGACTAAGTTGGAGATTGAAGTAAAAGGGAGGTAAAGTATGAATTGTGTGTAGGATCATTTGCCAAAAAAATAAAACTTAAACTTTATTTGGGACAACCCCAAAGGGAAATATGTAACTTATATGTAGGCATTCTTTAGGCAATATTAATCTTACCATACAGACTCTTGTTGTAATTTTTGGTCTCTGTTCTGTAATTAAATCAGGATTGGACACTGACCAATTCAGGCCCCTCTAGATAAAAATTGGACCGAGTTATACCAGTCCTGTTCCAGGTCGGGTATAACTTACAGTTTCAGGTCCAGTTTAGAACCGGGCCGGGCCCACCCCTAAGCTTAAACAAGTTGAAGTAGCAGCAATTTTATTGGTATGCTGTGTTTGAGGAAAAAAGTCCTACTCTGCTGCTGTTTGATTAAGGAACTTGTGAAGTTGTTCAAATGCAGTTCCTGTGATGATACTTCCAAGGAAGACATTGACAAGAAGAAACAAATGATATTTTGCAGCAGAACTTCTCTCCAAAGATGAAAGTGATGTCAGACCTTCTATTTTGCTCATGCTCATAAGGAGTTTAGGGTTGTTAGCCAGAAACAGCTTCAATGAAATTCCAGGAAGAAACCCTTGAATGAAAGACTTGATGAAATCCCTGCCATAACATAATTTTCAGCTATGTTTGAAGAAATCTTCCTAGCTTTCCTTAAACTCAAGAAACCACTCACTTTTCTATCAATGGCTTTAAGAAAGGAAAAACTTTTTCGATGCCTTGAATGCTTGCGAGAGACTGAACGAATGCAGTGGGAATCATAAAAAAGAAAGTAAGAAAGAAAAAGGCAACCGCCATGAGTAGCCTTCGGATTTTGAGTTCAGCGTATGGTATGGAAAGATTACTCCAAAAGATATCACGTGGTTCAGGTGCCCATTCTGTCATCCAAATGGTGGGATTACTTGATTGTTGGGTTTGAGCACAGACTGCTGCTCCCCATCTAGATTTAAATGAAACAAAAGCAGCTGGAACTATTGCCTTGGGATCACTTAAGATCTTCTCTTTCTCTTTAGCTTCCTAAGTCAAAGAATATAACCTATTATTACGATAGCATATAAGATGGAGGCCCAACAGAAAGACGCATTGCTCTAGCATATATACAATAATGGTGTAGCATGGTTTATGCAAATAATTCATGTTAAGATCTTCATGTTTCATGAGGTGCGTTCCAAATAGCTACATTGTAATAAGAATGACTTGCAACTTTTTTCTCACTCTCTTTATTATGTTCAATGCTTTCAGAATTTCATTTCATTATAGTGATGACAGCGGTAATGACGAACATGCAAATTAAATAGGAATCATATAAATAATTTATGGAGTTATTTAAGGCACTTACCATTTCCTCCAAACATTTGATTTCAGCTGTGTAATAGTCGATGGGGTTGACTGTTTCCCCCCATAGTCCCCAAAATCCTGTCTATACATGAAGAAAGATTAGATTATGTAATAGACATGCAAATTAATAGAACTTTAGATTGGTTTGAGATCGTCCACTTGAGCAGTAAGGTACTCAAAGTCAAACCACACTAAAGGATTGAACTCAACCTATTAAGACATGTTTAGTCCAAGGTCCTATTAACTCATTTTCTAATATTTATTTCTTCAATGTGTGACTCTCAACACAAAATGAAATGTTAGCAGATATTCAAATTCGTTTTGGGAAAAAAAGATACCTTTATTTTGCTTTTCTCGGTAAGATTCCTGTCACACTTTGTCTGATAGTAAATGAGCCAATTTTGCAATTTCTTCTTCTTCTCCACAATCTTTGCTAGCTTGTTAGTATTGTATACAACCTAAAACTTCAACAGCTTTCGTTATGGTCACATAGGACATTGAATTGAAGGAAATGGCACAGTATAACTGATGAGTATGATTAGCAGCTTTGTATAAAAGAGAACACTTCAGCAAGTGACAGACCTGGTGTAGAAGGTAAGTATCTGGATGGTTTACACAAAAGAAATGCTCAATGTGCTCGCTGATTGATTCATCGGTGTCTTGGTGGACGTTTCTCACAAGGACCTTTAAGATGAAGTCAAATGGTAAACAGACTGGAAAAATAAAAACGGAATCCATAAACTTTTACACCATGAACCACTAACAGTGAACTGATCAGGACGGCGCTTTTCTGATGCAAGAAACTGCAGCCTCATGTTAGATACAATTTCATACTCTTTATATAGAACATATAAGGTCCAAAATGAGAATACATATGCCATTGCTATGTGTGCCCATAACCTGGAAATTGGAATAAACAGCAATTAAGAGGAGTGAGAATAGGTTTCTGTTTTTTATTGTATCCTCAATGAGGGCATTATTCCATTGGCAATGCTAAGTGAAAAAATGCCTCCATATTTTGCGCACAGAAGAAGAATATGTTATCAAGGACAGAGCCAGGACTTTGTTTTTATTTTTTACTACCTTTGTCCCATTAAACATAGCCAACTTTCCTACTTTTCTTTTGCAGTAATTTGATTTATAAAACTTTGCTACTTTTCTTTTACATTAATTAATTGTGGTTAATATTATTTCTCTCCTTTGCATAACATTTACTTATATTCTGTAAAAGATGGCAATGTTCAAGGCAAGGGAGTACTATTTATAGATCTATATGTCTGGGTAGCCAAGCTGAAATTCTTATTAAAACTTTATAGGAGTCTGCTGTTGAAGAAATATGCCTTCTACAAAAATATACTGTCTGCAAATCCTATAAAAGGGAAAATAACATAAATGGGAAAAATAATGCTTACTTTGGTGATCCAGATGGAACATTCGATATTGACAGTTTATCAATCTCACTGAATGTTAAGTCCTCAACATTTTGCAGTGACCCACCATTCCAATTAACAGGAATTAAGATGGAAAAGGCAAGAAATGCAATGGGTACAAATATTTTCAATCTGCATTTCAGTTTTTGAATGAAATTAGATGGTCTGCATATAAAACCGTTTAAATTGGGGAAAAGACTTGGTAACCAATTGGGAAAACCCAGTTATGTGTTTTTTAAAATCTTTTTTAGTTACAATTAAACTCATGAACTCATCATTGTTAGAAAAACTATATACTACGTTTGTTTTTTTACATCTGTTAAAATCTCATGTTGGAAACTGAAGAGAGAATGATGGGTTAATAAGACATTGAGTTGAACTAGCAAGGAGATTGAATTCATTCTTCTAGTTTGATTATAAATCAGTTGATTGACCTCAACTAATCTTAAATTTTATTAACTTCCATGTCCCTTAAAAGAAGACTTGACCATTCAGCTATTAACACTCACCCAAGAAGGTAAATTCGTATATACACAGTGGAGTCAAGACCTGCATGATCTATGAGTTCAGGCTGTGGCATATTCAATGCTGCAGGAATCCAATTCAAGAGCTTTAAGTATGTTTTGAAATCCAAGTTGACAAACTTCTGGACTAAAGGTCCAGAACTTGTTGGGCTTTCTCTTATACCCTTCAAGTACCACTTTGGGAAGTATACCCTATCATTAACTGGTTGAAGTCTTAGAATTGCAAATGCCAAAAGAAATGTCAGTGCAGAAAAAAGGTTGATTCCTGCTGAAACAAGAATGTCCTCAACACTTGCCATATTTGCCCCAAAGATGTTTCACCTGTCAACTTTTGCGGGAATAAATTGTATCAGTTTCATATTCCATTCTTGATCTCAGTAACATTGTTCAGGTGATGTAATCTACTCTTGTCGGGCTATTTACCTTATTACTACTACTACTTTTGTAGCAGTACTCTCGTAATAGTATTCGTACTCCGTATTACATTGATGGATATAATTATCCCATGAAGGAAGCGATGAGGCAAATAGTTTGGACAGACCGAAGGCTAAAGTGCTAAACTAGTCAGGATTTGGTTGGAGAAGCCCAACTATGGAGGGAAGGACTATCACACCATTGTTTATCATTAACAGTTAATTCTTGTAATGTTTAGTTTTAATGATTCGTGAAATGATGTAGTGGAGGGTGCCACCGTTGGAATGCTCGTGTATGTCCGGCGACCAATCGAGTTGAGGACAATTTTTGGCATATTTTCTGAATACCAATGGCCAATTCGCCATTCTTGCTCCGGTCATTTGCTTGTTATTTTGTTTAATTCTCGCTTTCTTTTTCTTTTTATCCAATTGCTGGGGTTTGATGCTGAGTTCTCCCTTAAAACTCAATAATATGTTAGGTAATGTTGGAGGCAAATTATATTATTTGCACCTCATGTTTATTCCAATATTCGATTTTGCATCTCATATTTTAATGCAAGAACGCCCTAAAATGCATTATTTATACAGGACTTGGCATCTCATGATTTTATTTTATATTTGAGTTTGCAACATAGGATGCAAATACACATGTTAGTGATCAAATTTCGTCTGCTCTTATGATTCAATGCTAACCTGTGAATAAAAAACAAAATACTGATGGATCATCAAATGCAGCTTTGTCCAAACACTGCCTTCCCAGAAAGTTATTCTGTTTTCCCTTTCCGGCTAGCCAGCTCTCTATCCAGCTAGCCAGATAGGAAAAACAGTTACCCTGCCGGAAAACCAAGAATGCCGCCCTTTGACAGCCCGGAAAATTGGAAAAGAGAGAAACTAGAAGGGCTAAAAAGAGGAGGCCTCTTCACCTTCCCCTCTTTTTTTCTTTTTCTTTTCTGACCACAATACTGGACAAATAATAAAATCCACTGGTTTTTATTTTAGCGTTCACAAAATAGCCCACATCTAGCAAGTAGCAACTGCGCTAATTTCGCTTCATAAACTAATAGAAAGCTGAGAAAGCCTTAACCACAAATTCTCAACCAATATCTTAGCACCATTTCAATAAAACATGCAATACCCATCTGGATGTAGTCAAATTTTGACTCCCACAAAGAAAAATTACTACTCAATTTCATTTAACTTTCCATTTCCTATAAAAATAAAACATGAAGTTCCATCTTCCATTTCCAAACTCTATAACTGATTACCACATTTATTTGATAACTTTTGGGTTTGGGATCTTGTATTGAGTTTACCTTTCTGAGATCGCCAGAAATGACTGATTAGAGGGGTTGAGGCTTAAAAAATTATATTAGGGGGTCAAAGGCTCAAAGCTTAAAATTTTACTATATTGTTTTTACTTTTTATAAATATTTATAGGGAAAAGGTACAAATACACCCCCGTAGTATGGGTGTAAGAACAAAATAAACAATTATACTCCTGTTTTATTTTTCGGAACAAATATACTCCTGAAGTATATGTGGAAGTGCATATATACTCTTGAATTTTTAAAAAGTGCAAAATACCCTTCATGTTCTTATCAAAGAGCAAATTTACCCTTATTGACTTTAAGAGCCCGTTTGGTAACATGAAAATCGACTGATTTGGTTGATTCTGCTGAAATTTATGAAGTTCTGGCTAAAGTGGTTGATTCTGCTGATTTAAGAAAAAAATATTTTTAAAATATATTTTATTAATAAAATAAAGAAAAAATATATTTAAAAATAGCTAAAATGGTCATTTACAGTAACTTCAGCCAATACAACCAGAAAAGTAACTCAACCTTACTTTTTCTGCTTTTTACACAATTCAGCGTGCGGAAGCAAAAGTTACGTGTTTGGTGAAAAAGTTGGCTGATAAGCTTCCGTTCAACTATTTCCCTGGAGATAGCATGTTTAATAATATATTATTTATTGTGTTTAATTACTATTTCCATGTGAAAACCCCGATGATCTCGGCATGCGAGCTTAATTATGATCCATCGGGAAAATCTGAAAATGTTACTACTTATAGGGGAATGATTAGTCCTTTGCTGCATCTGACACCTAGCCGACCCAACATCATGATCTCTACATGTTTCTGTGCACGATTTCAAGTGAATCCAAGGGAATCTCATCTATTGGCTGTTAAACAGCTCTTTAAATACCTGAAGGGAACACCCAATTTGGGACTTTGGTATCCAAAAGAGTCAGGTTTTGATTTAGTTGCATTCACTGACGCTGATTTTGCAGGTTGTAAAATGGATAGAAAGAGTACCTCTGGAAGTGTTCAAAATCTGGGAGAGAAATTGGTTTATTGGTCCTCTAAGAAGCAAAATTGTGTGTCAACATCTACGGCCAAGGCAGAATATGTGGCCTCCGCTAGCTGTTGTTCACAAGTATTATGGATGAGGAGTCAACTACGTGATTTTGGATTTTATTTTGACCATATTCCTATCTACAGTGACTCAAAAAGTGCAATTGATATATCTTGCAACCTCATTCATCATTCTCACACTGAGCACATCGATTTGAAGTTTCACTTCATCAAAGATCATGTTGGGTCATGTGGACTTATACTTTGTGTGCAATGAGCTACAACTGGCTGATTTATTCACAAAGTCTCTGGATGAGAAAAGATTTCAGTTCTTGGTTTCTTAAATGGGAATGCCGAATTTTGATTATTAATGTGTGCACAAGTGTAGGGGGGTAATTTATTTAATTTTATCGGTTATGTATAACCCATTTAATTTTAAGTTTATTTTATTTTATTTTATTGAGTAAGTTACCAGGTTATTTTGGTCTGTTTCCGGGAAAAAGGTGCATACATTTACAAACCAAAATAGTAACTTATAAACCAAATAATATAACTTGTAACACAAAATACCGAACTTTTAAAGTAATTAAATTGACAGTTAAGTCTCTCTGTGACAAGTTGGTATTCATATGTTTGAATTTTTTGAGGGTGTGATAAGTTTTGAAGCCTTCAGGGGTGATGAGGGCCGCCCCTCCTCCACAACCTTTAGCAATTTTGTCTGGTCCGAGTGCTACTATTGAGGGGGAATATTTTTTCTGTTAGATTCCGTATTCTGGCTTACTTAGAAAAACCACAAAAATATTTATACATTTTAATCTATTAGTTTTTCCTATTTTAGTTGAGTCGGTTTCCTATTCAGAAAAAACCAAAAAAAAAATTATCATTTCTTGTTTCGCGGGTACTTAAAGACAGAACCGGGGTGTTTTAATTTTTTTATCTTATTTTATTTTACATCTCCTTCCTCCACATCAGTTTTTCTTTAAGCACTCGGAAATAGTTGAACACTTCATTCTATCTTTCTGCATTTCATCGCTAGAGAGATAATTCTCGAGGGTGTGTATCAACCATAGATGCAAACCCAAGCCTCTGTTTCCCGGATCTATAAAGATCATCTCCAATGGAGTTAAGTATGCTTCCGTTCAACTATTTCCCTATATTATTCCAATATGAAGATTAACGGCCTGTTTGGATTGAGTGTTAGGGAGTGTTAGTAATGAAAGTGTTAGTAAGTGTTGATACTAACACTTGTTTGGGAGAAAAATTAAGAGATGTTAAGAAGTGTTAGTAAAGGTTAGGAAGTGTTAATAATAACCTTCCCCAACACCTCAATTGTCCACTTTTTTAACACCCCGATTTGGAGTGTTTTGAGATGTTGGACAATTATTACCCTTCTCATTTACCCTAAAAACATAAAATGCTTCAACATCTCACTTCGAATCTATTTCCCACAGGCCTGGTCTGCCTTTTTCATCTCTTCTCCTTACTCATTTCTTCTGCCTCAAGGTAAAATTATTAACATTTCATTCATTTGACTCTCCTAAACAAGGTAAAATTATGTCTAACGCACTTACACTTCCCTTCCGGGCCCTTACTAACACTTACTAACACTTCTATTAATAACACTTCCAAACACTCCATCCAAACATGCCCTAAAGTACTATCAAATTTATTCCTGCACTTCTTTATCTACATATTTATTATCTTTCAAGACCGGAAAAACAATCACAGTTTCAGAGTTTCCGAAAAGTCAACGAAATTGGAGATGAATAGTCCCTGGAGTTATTGTTTGTGTCGTCCTAAATATTGATATCAATTGTCTATAAGAAAATATAAATTGAAAACGAAGTAAAATTTTGTCTATAAGAAAATATAAATTCAAAACGAAGTAATTTTTTATTTATCAATATTCACTTTAATATCTATAAATAAATAAATTCAAACCAATGCCTGTGCACAAACAATTTTGTCTTTGGACAAACATTTTTATTTGTTGCAAACAATTAATATATAACCACAAACAACTAATGTTTGTGCACATACTATCAAATTTTAATTGGAACACGAAATAATATTTTGTAAATCATTGTTATTGATCGTGAGTGGGTTTGGAGTCTACCGCCCCAATTTATAGAGCATAGTTACATTTGTAAATGGTACGGTATGTTTATCACTAGGTAAATGGCAAGAATATTTTACAAAGGCATGTACAGTACCCCATTTTTTGCAGTTGAATTAATTAAGTCTAAATTAAAAAATATATGCCTATTTGGACCAATCAAGTGAATGGTAGGTATGGTACTCCATTTTTAAATAGGTACCGAAGTTCTCATCTTGCATTTTAATATTGTTATATTTCAATTTTACCCGCGAATTATGCTTAAGTAGGTATTTTTCGCGAAGAAGTAAGATGGCTTCAAAAGCCGAGATAATCTTCAAATCTATCGAATGGTAAATTTTGTAGCAGGAGGTTGGCCAGTATTGAAAAGTTTGAAAGGTCGTTGGTTCTTGGTTTCTAATATAATCAGTCAGTTTCCTTTAAATAAACACTACAACTGTTCAAAGTTAAAGAAGTCGGTGCTGCACTGCTGCAGCGCATCCTTGTTTTGTGTTCATTAGTGTTATGGGCAGTAAGCACGTGTAAAATTATAGTCCAAAAATACATCCTTAACACCCCCCTCAAGATGGTGCAGAGGGTGGTCGTTGATGGTAAGATTTGAGGATGATGGCTAGTTGTTGGGTGGTTCAGGGATAATCACGACGGCGAACGGCCCGGTGGTCGTCCAGTTTCCATCGTCGTGAAGAAGATGATACCTGCAACAGAATAAATACACACACGCACACCTAAAAACTTAAGGAAGAAGAATGCATAAGAAGATGAGTGAAGATGGACTTCCGAGTGCTTAAAGAAAAACTGATGTGGAGGAAGGAGATGTAAAATAAAATAAGATAAAAAAATTAAAACACCCCGGTTCTGTCTTTAAGTACCCCGCGAAACAAGAAATGATAATTTTTTTTTTGGTTTTTTCTGAATAGGAAACCGACTCAACTAAAATAGGAAAAACTAATAGATTAAAATGTATAAATATTTTTGTGGTTTTTCTAAGTAAGCCAGAATACGGAATCTAACAGAAAAAATATTCCCCCTCAATAGTAGCACTCGGACCAGACAAAATTGCTAAAGGTTGTGGAGGAG